GTGATGTCACCGACGGCGCAACCAGGACGTCGCCGATGGTGGAACCAGGATGTCACTGCTGACATAACCAGGATGTCACCGCTGGCACAAGCGGGATGTCACTGACAGCACAGCCACGATGTCAGCGCTGGCATACCCGTGATGTCACCGGTGGCCATAACCATGACGTCACCGCTGGCACAACCGGGATATCGCCGCTGGCACAACCAGAGTGGCACCAATGTCACAATGATGTCGCCGCCGGCGCAGCTGGGATGTCACCGATGGCACAATCAACGACGTCACTGCTGACACGACCATGATGTCACCAAGGATGTTAATTCTGTCTTTGCATCACGGGAGGACCCTCCGGACACCCCCGCCGGGTTCGGATCCCCACCGCCCCCCAAGGAGCTGCGCTGACGGCAGCCCCCGCCCCACTTTGGGGGAAGAAACTTATTTGAAGGAGCCCCAAAATCTCATGTTCTTGCCTCAATTTTGGCCGGCAGTCGACGGGGAAGGTCTTTGGCCGCCACCTCCAAATCACCTCGGCGATGCATTAATTGCGCGTTAACGAGGGCGTTGGCGGTGCTCACCCCGCCCTTGCGCTAATTGTGCGTTAACGAGCGCGCTAATGACGCGCTCCCCTGTAGATGCCGCCCTGCCGTGGGGCTCTCCGGGCGATTTGGGCCAAATTAGCCCAAAATCAAGGGCGCGGTGAGATGATGTGGCTTGGAGGCTTGGTCACCTCTACGGCGTGGTTGGGGTGGACGGGGTCACCGGGGAGGGGGTCACGAGGAAACCCCCTCCCCCTGCAGGGCCTATGGAAATGCATATGGAAAGCAGGGAAGGGGGAGGAAGAGGAGGGACAGGGATGAAGTCAAGAACATCCCCCGGGGGTTCAAATAATTGAATTATTTTAGGAGGACATGGTGACCGTGCCATGGGGTGAAGGGTCCCAAATGGAGCCACGGGGGACAAAAGCCACCCCGAAAAGAGCACGAAGGGCTTCAGCGAGGATATTTTGGGGGGGAAAAAAACCCAAAAAAACAAAAAAAACCCCACACTGAACTGCGATTTAAGTGAAATTTATATATTTTCTGGTGTTGTCCGTGCTTCCAAAACCGGCGTGGACGTGTCGCTGTGCTGCTTGTCAACGGTCCCCTCCGTGTCCGCTTTCGGGGACTGCCCTCGCCTCGTCACCGCGGCTCGCGTCCTTTTGTTTTGGTTTTGGTTTTTTTGGTTTTTTGGAGTCGCTTTCTTTCCATGAGTAGTAATAAATTAGAGCCTAGTTACCCCGGCAGCGCTGCGGTCCTTTCCCTTGGTGGGCTGAAAAGTGGGCGTTTCTCTTCCATTTGTGTTGGGAGGGCTTCAAAACCACATCAAGATCCAATTTTCCAACTTTTTATCCCCACCTTTTCCCTTCGGTTGGGTTTCCGGTTGGGTTGCCCCAATTTGAAGCCCAGCCGCAACTCCTCCTTGTAGTTAAAAATTGCAGTTAAAAATGTGCATTTTCCAGTGCAAGATTCCCATGAATCCAGTAAAAACGTATCAGGATGGAGGGAAGTGTTGAGCCTTCAACAGCTGAAGGTTGTGGTCGCTTGGACATCTAAGAGCGTGGTGGCACCAAAACCACCTTTTTATCCCCAAAAGGTCATTCCACTTGGACCACGGGGGAGGGTTGGGTCTGTAGGGCTGCTCCAAACATCTGCTGGTGAACCCCAAGGAGAAGAAATTTAAATTAACCACCCCCCTCCCCAAGACTCGAGGGGCACCACCAGCCATGGCCACATCCCCCCCACGTCAGCGAGGGGCAAGCCAGGACGGCAGCCCATGGGGCGGATCAGCAGGGTCCGTGGCCACCGGTGGCTGCTCCTCCAAGAAGTCCTACAGAGGGACCAAAATCCCCAGGTCTGGGCTTAAATAGACTCTCTGGGCCATGGGCAGGGGGTTGTGGGGGTCCCACGTGGAGACGGTCAAGGTTGTTAATGACCGTTGGTGCCCTCAGCCTCCAAAATGGTTACTAGGGTGGCTCTGCAGCACATCTCCAAGGGGTTCAGCACGTCTCCAAGGGGTTCAGCACATCTCCAAGGGGTTCAGCACGTCTCCAAGGGGTTCAGCACGTCTCCAAGGGGTTCAAGATGTCTTCAAAGGGGTTCAGCACGTCTTGAAGGGGTTCACCACATCTCCAAGGGGTTCAGCACATCTCCAGGGGTTCAGCACACTTTGGAAGGGGTTCACCACATCTCCAAGGGTCTTGACCACTTCCCAGGCAGCTCCCTGGAGAGATGTGGGCAGCACCGGCACCTTGGGCGACTTATCAGGGAGGAGAAGCAGACCCCCTCCCACCCCATGGATTGGGGAAGGGCTGAGCACCCTAAATCAAGTCCAAGCCCCCCAACTTCGGGGCACGCTGCTCCCTCAGCCATCATCCTCACGCCCACCCCGGGGACGAGGAGCCAGTGCCAGCCCCGTCCCCACTCCACAGCTCTGCCATGGGGCAGAGACCCCCGGGCATAACCCCAATTTGGGGTCCAACCCAAGGACCTCGCTCCTGGCCTCGGCTCTGCTGGAGCAGAAGGTTCTGAGGAAACATCTGTGGGGGGAACGGTGCCAGGAGGGGAATGAGGTGGGGTCTTTATTTTTAGATCGATATTAAATTTCCGTTGTCTTAATTAAATTGCTGCCGGGCTTGGGGGGGGAAGGGGTCTGCGTAGGGTATGTATATATTCCTACTTTTATTTGGGAAAGGTTTTAATGAATAAGTGTCTTAATAAATGCATAAAAAGAAGATGTAGGAATTTTTTTTTAATGCTGGAAATAGAGTTACAAGGTAATTGTGGTGGCCATGCTACGGGCTAGTTATAAAAATGGGACAAAATTTAATCAATCTGAAGTTTTAATCCAGGGAAAAAAGAGGATGAAGGGGGGCATGGGGGAGCAACCGGTAGCAGAGCACGAAAGCAGGTCTTCAGTGAGCAAAAGGAGGCGATTCTTCTTTGAACGAAGAGTCAATATATGGAAAAATCCTTCTTTTTCTCTACGACAAAAAAAAATCAGCTGGGTTTCAGTGGCCAAGCTTAAAAAACTGGTGAGAAAATGGCCGTAGAGAGTCGTAAAATGAGAAGGTGGCCGCGTCCGGCACCCTCTGCGGAGAGCGAGAGCCGCGAAGGCATTTCTGGCACGCCGAAGATTTGTCCGCAACGTCCTCCCGAACCCAACGGTTTCACGTGGTTTGATCCCTGAAGGGCAAACCCAACCACTCCACCCGACGCCTAAAATAGCCGGGGAGGTAAAACCCGGCTGAGGGGGAAAAGTCTTGCCCGGGAGCAGCTACAGACGTCGCTCCTGTCTTGGGTTTCTCCACGTGACAGCAAGGTGAGCCGATCCCTTTGTTCCTTACAGCTCTAGAAAGTCAGGTACAAGCCACGGCCCCTCCAAACAACCCAACATCCATATGAACGGGACATCCATGGTGCTCCTGAAGCATCTCCTCCATCCCCCCCTCATCCGGCATCATGGAGAAGAGTTTGGCTCCATCAGGGTTTCGGCTCCATCAGGGTTTCGGCTCCATCAGGATTTTGGCTCCATCAGGGTTTCGGCTCCATCAGGGTTTCGATCCATCAAGGTTTCGGCTCCATCAAGGTTTTGATCCATCAACATTTTGGTTCCATCAACATTTTGGTTCCATCAAGGTTTTGAGCCATCAAGGTTTTGAGCCATCAACATTTTGGTTCCATCAAGGTTTCGATCCATCAAGGTTTCGGCTCCATCAAGGTTTCGGCTCCACCAAACCCTCCCTACAAAGAGCTGTGACAGGATTTCTGCCACCTTGGGACCTTCTGTGTTCCAACTGATCTCATGGATAGAGACCACCGGTCCTTACAAAGCATAGGCCACCCCATACAGCTGACGTACATCCTTCCATGAAGGCTGTGGAGACCCTCTCATCGAGGGAAGGACCAGCCCCTGCCCCAGGAGAAGACGTAGAGCTCTAGTGCACATTCCTTCATGCATGTGGGGTGGCCCCTTGCACCCCTGGGGTCTGCAGCCAGATCCAACAGCTCCAAAACTGGGTGATCTCAACCCATGTGCCTGCCAACACCACCCAGGACTTGGGGACACCTCACCTTGATGGCCACCACCCAGGACTTTGAGAACTTGATGGCCCCAAAGGCTGAGAGAGCCTGGAAAACCCACCTGGACTTTATTTCTCCCACTCATCCTGGTGGATCTTCAGGGCTTTTTGGTGGAAACACCATAAGGAATAAATCAGACTTGCCCCAAGCATCTTTGGGTTGAACACCAGCCCCAAAACCCCACAGAGCTCCTTCTCCCTGCCCAATTTTGGGGTGACCTGTGGGGTGCTGCTGCCTGACACCCACCACCACCAAGCCGGGAGAGGTGTCACCTGCTTCCCCCACCTTTGGTGGGAAAGCTGGAGCTCCTCTTCCCACCCCAAAACAGGCTCATGAATGGACCTGCTGGTGACGGATGAGGGAGGAGCTCTCACCAAAGCTCTTCCTGCTCAAGCAGGTGAAGAGCTTCTCACCGGTGTGGGTCCTCTGGTGCCGGTGGAGATGCAAGAGGCGTCCAAAACCCTTCCCACACTCGGGGCATCTGTAGGGCTTCTCCCCGGTGTGGGTGATGAGGTTGGAGCTGCCGTTGAAGCTCCTCCTGCAGTCGGGACCCCTGTAGGGCTCCTCACCCTTGTGGGTCCTCTGATGAGAGAGGAGGTGGGAACGGAGGCTGAAGGTCTTCCCGCACTCAGCGCAACCGTAGGGTCTCTCGCTGGTGTGGATCCGGCGATGCTTGGTCAGGTCCGAGCTCTGCCTGAAGATCTTGCCGCAGTCGGCGCAGATATAGGGCTTGTCCCCGGTGTGGGTCTTCTGGTGGATCAGGAGGACGGACCTATAGCTGAAGCTCTTCCCACACTCAGGACACCCATAGGGTCTCTCTCCGGTGTGGACCCGCTGGTGGATGAGAAGGTTGGACCTCTGGTTGAAGTGCTTCCCGCAGGCGGGACACCCGTAGGGTCGCTCGTGGGTGTGGGTACGTTGGTGGGTGACGAGGTGGGAGCTGCACCCGAAGCTCTTCCCACACTCGGGACACTCGTAGGGCTTCTCACCGCTGTGGGTGGCCAGGGGTGACCCACGGGGAAAACTCCTCCCCACCCTCCCCGCAGACGTCGGCAGCTACCACCATGGGACCCCCCGTTGGGGCACGGTCCCCCATCCCACCGCCCCTCATCCCCTTCTCCACCCGCTTCCCAGCCCCACGTTGTCCCATCCCCGATCTTCTTCGGCGCATCTCCATCCTCTCGCCACCTCCATCCTCCTCCTCCTCACCATCCACGGTCCCGTCACCTGCACGGACGAGATGTGCTGACCCCGACATGTCCCACCGAGCCCACGCACGTCCCCGACGGATGAAGGTTTGGAGCCAAGACCTAGAGATGATCCAGCCCAACCATCTGGCTCAAGCAAGGTCTTCCAGACCCACGGCCACGGCCTTGAGTAGCTCCAAGGGTAGACCAGCTCCGGGAAGCCTCTTCCAACCTTCATCCATCATGGAATGTCTCAAGTTGGAAGGGACCCGTAAGGATCGTCGCGTCCAACTCCTCGCAGAAGGACAGCACCCCAAAAAATAAGGTTTTTTTTTTTAAGGTTTAAGCAAAATTTCACAGTTTTGTTGGTTTGGGTTTGGGGTTTTTTTCCCCCCGATTCGTCTCCAGATTTGAAAGGAAAAGGGAGGAAAAAAATGGAAAGGAGCTTCGTCATTTCCCACCTTTTTCTGCCATCGGGACTTGGTGGTTTCTTTTTTGGGGGGGCGGCGGGTACCCCAGACTTTGGGGACCAGCTCCCCCCCCCGCCCCCTCCCCCCGTTTTGCTCTTTTTTAACGCTCTCGCAAAACAATCTGCCCCGAATCCCCCAGGAAAGCCGGTATTTCCACGGGGAAACAAAAAAATGGGGAGACCACCCTTCCTCCCAGGACCCCCCCCAGTCCCCCCGTCCTCCACCGCCGCCCCCGGGGATGCTCGGGGGAGGCAACCGGATTCCTGGACCCCCGCCCCGGTGAATTCCCGGTTGCCGGCGGCTGGTGCAGC